CTGCTGAAATCCAGCCAGCACGAGGTAGGACAATTGTGCTGCTGTTCTCTTTGGGAGTTATAAACAAGAGGATGAGGCTCAGCAAGAGAAAGAAAGGCTTCTTTCTGTATTTTTCCTTTTTGTCAGTTTTTTAGCTTCCTTTTCCTTCCCTCCTTCTCCTCCTGAACTGCAGGCAGAGCTATTTAGAGAAGAAATGCTGTTTTCACATGAGTTTAGTTTTTCAACCTAGTATTTTGCTTGCTGATTAAAGTCAACAAAGAAATACATTTAATACCCTCTCTTTAAAGATGCAAACAAACTCCTCCTTAGCTACCACTAATGGTATTTTTGTTTGGGGTTTCATAAAGCCGCTTTAAGTGAGCGAGCAGAAGCAAGGTCCCTATCTTTCCCACTAGGGATAAATAGATGCTCTCCAGCAATTCCTGCTACATCCTGCGTGCAACTTTTTATGCAAAAAGGAAACAGAATAATAATGAGCTTAAAAAATAAAATAAATAAATTCACATCATGCCAAATGCAACCAGAGTAGCTAGGCTCCTTGCTTTAACCCCATTTTCAGGATGGCGTGTTTTTTATTATTTAAGGGAGCTATCTTTCAGCTCTACCCACATAAAATCTTTCCAAATTGCTCCAAGTGGTACGTGCTGAGATATTTTGACTATACTGTGACCGCTTGAGCAGTCATGTTGGTGTTCTCGGCAGCTTCAGATCTGAGAATAAACACGTTGCTGTGTGCCGGCTGTAACTTTATAGCTCTGTGTATGGAGTAAAGGTTTTGGAAGTGGATAACATGCGATGAAGAAAGTGAGATCTGGATCTCAGATACCCTCCAACCTTTTTTTCCCCACTAAGACTGCTATCTCCACATACACGTGCTTTACTGAGTTTGATTAAAGTCATATAAACCATAATCTCTCTAAGCTCTGCCTTAATTGAAGGGAGATCCAAGACGTCAAAACTATGTATTTTGATGTGTTCTTGTATTGTGCTCTTTACTGAGGACACAAAGATGTAGGACTTTGTGTTCAAAGTCACATCTTCATAGATGTCTTGGATCCGACATCATGAAGTGGGCACGGTGGTGTCGGGTTGACGGTTGGACTTGATGATCTTCAAGGTCTTTTCCAACCTTAATGATTCTGTGATCCTGTTCTAAGTCATGTTCACCCTCTGGAAGCTCTATGCCATGTAAGGGTGGTTATGGGTGGTAGCTGGAGAGCCGGGGGTGCCTTTGGGGATCACTCTTCTGCCCTCGGGCCTGCAGGGAGGGATGCTCCGGCGCTCCGACCCCACGCTGGGAGCAAGTGTAGGAGCACCATCAGCTCCTTTCCTTGCAAGCGCCGATTCTCGGTTCGTTTTTACAAACCAAGTGTAATTAGTAACGACCCAGTCTTTACTCTGATGTGTTGCTGCTTGCTAGGTCATCACCCGCTTCCAAATAATAGGTGAAAATGTGTTTTATGTAGGTTATAAATTACATATTGCCGCTCAGCACAGGGAGTGCTTGTTTTTCCCCTTCCTTTTTCACATCCCGGTGGTCCTCTGGTTAAAGATCCTTTTCTCCCATTGGGTTCAACTGAGGAATCTCTTGCTAAATTCAGCAAAAAAACCACTCTGAATTTGTACTTGAGCTTTGCAGTTTGTCTCAGCCTGGCAGAAGACGTGTGTGCTCGAAAGCTTGTTGGGTTTTCCAGCTATTCCAGTTAGTCTGGTTAAAGATAATATTACGTCTGTCTACAAAATTTCTCATCTCTATCTGCGATGTATCCCATCGCAGCTACTGTGATACCAGCATCAGCTTGTGATTTTCATTTATTTCCTGTACATTTAGTTACAGGGGAGTTACCAAAAGGCTTAAACACACTGTAGTGATTCTTCAAAAGCTTGAAAGAAGAAATGCTGGTGTAAACTTCGTCGTTGTAGAGCTTGCAGGTTTCTTACAAGGGGAGTTGTACACCGGTTGTTTAATTACACGGCGACGGAAAGGGAGCGTGTTGGCCGAATATCTTTGGAGTGGGGAGCAGTCGGAGGGGGTTTTTCAGGCTGCATGGTGGCAGTTAAACAGAAAAGGCATTAAAAAAAAAAATTAGCAGTACAGTACCCATCTACTGGAGGTAGAAGGAAAACAGAAGAGAGAGAATTTAGTGAGCTTGTACTCTAACCGAGTATTGCTTATTTGCATGAAATTAATTGGAAAACAAAGTCTGCTGTTACTGTTCGCTCCGGCAAGCAATGCCCCTGTGAATTTTCCAAGTGTATCTTCTGCATTTCTCCGGCTACCAGCTGTGCAGAGTGTCGTAGCATGAAATACATGTGCACGGCTCCCAGTGCAGCAAACAGAGCATCGCTCGTTTGTTCTGAGCAGGTCACCGTCTGTCGATCCGTCACACACCTCTTTTCCGAACATCTGACGATTTAAATGCGATACTGGACATACACGTTACTGTAGCGTTTGCTATATTCTTCTCAAGCATGAAAAGGTTGCAGAAGTTGGTGTTCCCCAAAACATTATGTACGAAGACTAAAGAGATTGCAAAGCTAAATGCTATTAAATGCCTTTGGAGACTGAATTTGTGCTGCGGTTCTTGGGCATCCTCAGCAACACGGCATCTTCCTTCCGCTTCCCTACTGCGTGGAGATCTGGGTGATCCGCTCGTTTGCGCGGTAAAAGCGAGCTCACACCTGGGAGGACACTGGCTTCATTTGCCGGGAAATTTGGAAAACGTATTGCAACTGATGGAGGGAGACCCTGGAAGGAGATTCGAAGGCTGTCAGATGCTGCTCTAAAAATTGGGACTGCGTTCCTCGCTGTGGTTCGCTCCATTTGGGGTCAAATCTCCAACCCAACGTGCGTGGTTTGTGCAGGCTCTTTGCTCCTTGGTGTCGGAGTCCTTGGTCTTGCAGTGATATTGGATATGCGCAACTACTGTAAAAATTAATACTTGGAAGTATTGTTAAAAACGCTGCCCATTAACGGAAGATTCAGCCTCAAGCTACATTTCTTAATACGTACATGAAAAAAATTGTAGAGAGTGAAGGGGCGTTTGAGTCCCCATTTCATGATCTCTCTTGCTTGGCCAAGGTGGATGATGAAGAGCTGCTGGTTATCGTCGGGTGGGGTGGGGAGAAGGAGCAGCGAGGGCTCTGCGTCCCTGGGGTGCTGGTCAGCGCATCCACGCTGGTGCACCAAGGGTAGGCTTGGTTTGACGTCAAGTCAAAAAATCTCACCACGTTTTCCTCAATTTTATTAATTCAGGGCTTGCTTTCCCCGCCCCCCCCGCTAAATCCAACAAAAAAAAATAAACCCAAAGACTGCTCTCAGAAATACCAGCCTTGGCACTCTCGAAGAATACTGTGCACAGCTAAATAGGTGATTTTGGCAGGGAATTTCACTTTTAAGTGAAAGCTCATTCTCTGTGTGGAGACCCCTTGCGTGTCAAACGGAATTGAAAGGTCGTGCCCGTCTCGTGCCACGGGCCATCAGCTGTTTTGTGCTTGCATTGCAGCTGCTCCTTTCTCTGTAGACGGCGGATGGTACGGTGTCATATTTACCCCCAGCTTAGTAAGCTTTTTCAATTTATCGAAAACCTGTCCATTCATGGCCTCAAAAATGCCCACATTTGATACCTTTGGAAAGGTGGCACGCGGTACCTCTTAAATTGTCCTGTTTTGCTTTACCTAACAGCTGAAAATACATTTTTTTAAGCAGTTGCATCCTCTCCTAAGACAAATGCCTGATAGGAATACATTGATTTTTGAGACTTCCCTTTGGCTCCCTAAAAATAATCAGTGCCAGCCGTTGTTTTTCCTGGCACTTACCAAATATTCTGGTCACTGATAATTTTTTTTTTTCGGTGCTACCTATCAGTCTGGCTCCTGCAGGTGTTGTGGTCCATCCCCAATACTTAATAATAAGCATTTTTAAGCTCTGATTTCACCGCTTGAACTGTGTTAAAAAGAGGAAAAGACATTTTTACGGATCGATCAGATGTCCGAAGCTGCCCATGGCTACTCAAACATTGCAAGCGCTGGAAAACATCAGCCCAGCAGAGCTGCTGTGGTGTGAGTGAGTAATCTTAACTGTGTACAATACACAGGAATTTGATGCTGCAGCTTAACAGCACTTGAAATTTTGGAATTGCATCGAGTTGTGGATTATTTCTATAATCCCACAGAAGAGCGGGGAAGGGCTGGAGATGTGTATATTCACGTTTAACCTCGTCCTTCCTCGTGTGATATTTTACATGGCAGAAAACAAATGTGTTTTTATTGTGTTGATTTAATGGCAGAGCTCTGATTTTTTTTTTTTTTTTTTTTTTTTTTGGACGGGAGGGTGTGTATTATTTTTTTGTCTGTAACTGGCAAAAAGTAGCCGAGGTCTAAAAGGAAGGATAACACGGGCAGAAGCCAAGCTGTGTCTCGTATTACAGTGGTATGCTTTTGTTGCTGCTAACGTGTTTTTGTTTTTCTTCATTACACATATTTCTCTTGGGAGAAACAGGAAAAATATGTGTGTAAAATATACATGAGGGCTCCATGTCTCTGCTAAGAGGTTCCAGATGGGAGGCGTTACAGTAGGGACACTTTCTCCTGCCTTTTGGTCTGTAGCATTGATTTTGGTGACAAACTGCAGGAAAACAGAACAGTGAATGCTTCAATTTTTTTTAGTGTTTTTTTGGGCTATGCAACTGTGCGTGGGAAGTCGGAACTTCATTTCTAAACATGTATGGCCCCATGTAGGATTATTATGTTAAAAAAAGGAAAAAAAATAGGGTTTTGAAGGGACTTTGAGAGGCTTCCTCCAGGGGCTGGAGAGTGTCCAAGGGTTGTACCCCAGGCCAGATACCTCTGCCTAATTTAGAGGCTGATGGTTGGTGAGGAGGAGCTGGAAGCTGGTGGAGATGTCTCTCCAAGGGATGAGACTCTTGCCGATGGGTGATGTTTCGCTTCCGTGCCAGGCAGTGGCTCTTGGTTCTGGCTGAGGTTGGCGTTGAATTGGAGATGCTCCTCTTCAAGACCTCCCGAAATTTTGATGGCTTGTTTCCAGACCTGTCCTCGAGCTGAAGGTCCACAGCTCCACCACGCGAAGCAAGCAGCATTGCACCAAGAGTTCCAGCCTGGGCAAGCCATCGGTGATACCAGCCTGTCATCGCCAGCTCTTAAAATAAGTGTCACAGCTCCAGCGAACGCTTCTGAGTGCTACTAGAGCCGCCAAAAAGTGAGAACGGCGATAGGAACTCGCGTATGGCAAAACATGTTGTCCTAAAGGAATGTAGTCTGCTGTACGGATGTTTTTGCATAATGAAATTATATTAAAAAAAAAAAAAAGTACTTGCTTTTGGGATGTTGTGTGTTGTACCATTTTGAAGCATCAACAATTCCAACACTACGTGCTTCTGGCCAAAAAGACCTGAACCATGTTACTTTTGGAAGTAGGTGAAGCCATGGGTGAGGACTACCTTTCTACAGCTGTCTGTAATGCTTGATGCACTGAAAAGCTATAGCAGGTGCTTAAGAGGCAGCAGTTTACCCTGTCTTCTGCAAAGCACTGAAACATGTGGATGTTTGTCTGGTTTTGGAAATGGAGAAGTCGTATTTTCTTTAACGGTGGCTTCACAGCAGGTGCGACACGAGTGGTCAACAGCTCCGGAGACTCAAAGCCTCAACCTTGAGAAAAAGGGCAATCCTCATTCTGTGTACGTCCTCCCTTCCTTGTCTCAAGGGACGTGAGCTGCTGTGTTATTTGCAAGAAGAGTTTATTTAAAGTAAAGGAGCTCAGCCACAGTCCTGACACACTTCAGTGTTATTTCTAGAAGTTACTGAGGAGTTTTAATTGCAGCATCAGCTGTTTGTGATGCATCGCCGTACTTCATCTAGCTCTGCAAAAGCGGATTATGGAAGCGGGGAAATCGTGGTACGACTTGACGTTGTAATATACAATATAACCTCTTTGATAGTCGCTTTAAATATACGTTGAGGTTTTTTTATCTGTCAATACGCTATTAATGCTGTTTTGTTTCTGCTGTAGTGCTCATTCACGGTACTTGTATTGCCTATTGGGGGAGCATAAAACCTGCTCCTTAAGCCGTGCCTTGTTTTCAACTGGTCATTTTATTGCTCTGGGATTGTTTTATATCTCTATCGAGATGAAAAAATTATTTGAAGCTCAGATTAAGGAGATTTTGCGCGGTCCTGGAACCTGTCAGACACTTCCTATCTGCGTCTGTTGTAGTAAAATTTGTTCTTTGGCTGCAGAATATAAACGTTGGCCGTTGTAAGCATCCCCGGGATGGAGAGGCCACCATAATAACACCAAGGTACCCAACTTCATTTTGGGATACTTCTGCAAACCTGAAGCTGAACCGGGGCTGAAGATTTTTGTTTCCCACCAAAACGTTTGTTGGCTGATGCGAGCTGGAAAACATCTGCCTTTGGGTGCTCTTCCCAGGGCCATCCACCCTATGCATAAAAAAACCACATGTATGAGCAGAAGATCAGGAATGTGAGCCAGACCTTATGGATTTGGCAGCCTCTGCCTCGAGGGTCCGTCCGTACCGGCATTTGCCGATGACCGTCTGCCATCTTAGCCGGGGTTTTTTTCCCATTATGGCATTTGTGTGGGAAAACTGTCCCCGTTCGGGAAGAGGACTTAAGTAGGAGGCTTTGGCTTGGTTTTGGGGTTTTATTTTGTTGGGTTGTGGTTACATGGTAGTCCCTTTTTTCCAGAGCGTTGCTTAAAAGGCAGAAGCTGAAATGGTCGGATCCTGTGGTTAAGTATGGGAAAAGGAGGAACAGTCTGCCAGCGTTAAAGCATTTGCCAGGAATGCAGATGCTAAATCCTTTTTCTTGCATAGCTGATAGAGCACCTGCATCAGCAGACCTTTAAATCTCCCAAACAAGTATGTGTTGTAACGAATTTTATAGTACTTTATCTAGGGTGTCTTACTCTCTAAGGGTGTTCAATGGTGCTCTTGATATTTCCATTACATACACTAACACTTCTTTTATTCAGTTAAATTGACCCCCAGACCTTCTCCAAATCAGTGCTTTCCCATTAAAAGTCATTTTCTCCCATATTTGTATTAGGGAGCGTGACTTGAAGTGCACAAAGGCAGGTGGTCTTAACTGACCCTGTATTTTAAGCCTAATTGCCGCAACAGATTCGTCGCTTAATTGCTCCATCCCAGTATGGCAATTTGATTCAGCAGAGGGGGGAATTGCTGCCCTTGAACAGTCTCAGTTTTGCTGTGGCCAGGTAGGTTTAGGGCAAATGTTTTACAATGATTAAGACATTTTTAATTGACATAAACTATCAGTAACCAAAAAAAAAAAAAAAAAAATTAAAAAAGATGTTTCATAGCCTGTATAATGAGTAGTTTTTGATATGTAAGTTAAATTACAAGACGGTAAATCTGTTAATATCATAGAACTCACTTGGCTGCCATTCAGTAATTGTAATTATGAAATCAAGTATTGGATGTGCTTTATATTGAAAGAATACCGCTGAGTTTAATTCTGTGTAGTGAAGGGTGTGCCGTCATTGACAGTGGGAGGAAGAATGCTTTAACGTTCATAAATGCAACAAATAGTACACTTGTTTGGAGCAGGGAGACCTCTTAAATATGCTTTTGGACCTTTGGGCAGTCTTTGCAAGCCTGTCCACATGGACCTATTCTCCATAAGGTCCATATGGACAAGAGGGAGAGGAAGGCGCTTGTCAGCACTTCCCAGGTGTCTTTATCTTTTGGACTTTCCCCATCTGAAGTGTTTGAAGGTCATGTATTTGAAAGGTTCTTTGATGGGGAATGAAAAACAAGGAGAGGACAGGTTTGCATCTTTGGTCGCTGTGCCAGCTTAAAAAAATTGCATTACTGATTTTATGGGAAGAAACAGAGAATTACATGGTTTTGAGAAACTTGTAAGCAAAAAGTCACACTAATAGGAGACACTGCAGAAAGCAAACACCACCAAAGAGATGTTCTGCTGTGGTTTGCTATCAAAGACCAGTATAGGATTGGATTTTGTTCTAGGTAATGGGTTGAGACATGACTTTCATGTCCCTGCTCTCTCTGCACCATAACAGTGAGGAAGATGGCTAAATACCTGAAAACTGGAGAGCAGTTGAGGTTGGCAGGGACCTCCAGAGGACATCTGGTCCGTCCATGCTCAAAGCAGGTCAAGTGGGCTCAGGTTCTAGAGCAGTTGCTGTTTCTTGGCTTGATGAGGGGCTGGATTCCAACCATAGATCAAATCACTACCGCCTTTAAATAGCCAGCTGCAGAGGTTTGAGTGCTTCTAATATCTTCTTTTACCTGTAACAGACTTGTATTGCAAGGAAGGAAAACATAGATCTAGTTGTGGGGTTTTTTTAATCTTTATTTTTATTTTTTCTTGTGGTACAGCAGAAGCTGGAACCTTGCAAATACTTCCGTTTAAAAATCCTGAGTTGTTTTATTTCACACAACCTTCTGTGTGCTGTAGGTATGGCCAACCAGGAGATGCCACGGTGTTCATCAACTAAATGGGAGGGATGC